CTCCTGATTGACCTTCAGACTAAAAAAAAAACAAAAAACAGGCATTACTAGGTAGATGTTCAGATGTTATCACAAAGGATTTCGCCAATCAATAAATATTTAAATAAGGATGGACTCATTATTCCATCTGTAACAGTCTAAACAGTCTTAATGAGACAAATATGTTACTTGTTTATTCAAATGCTGGAGTTGTTATATACAAACATTAGAAAGACAGGGCCAATTCATTAATCTAGCAGGAATTCAGGCAAGTTTCAGCACCTCCCGTACCATCTCGCCAATTCCATCAAATATTTCATGTAGTGGTGCTTTGCACATGAAAGCGCAGGTGGTGACAATCTTGTTTTTCTCATCGACATGAGCCTCATTTACATGCTTACAGATGTGCTTGCAGCCAAGCTGAGAAATAGCTTCCGCAGTATCTGGAACATCTGGATACCTGAAAGCCAAAGATTCAGACAGCATGCTTCAGTGCTGTCTTTTAATATTAATATCAAAATTTTTGTGAACAATACGGAATCATAGAGATAATTGGGTATAAAACACATGACTTTGTATAAACAGATCTCTGCCTTTTCTGTGGGTTAAAATCTGTTTCTTTGCTGTTCCATCATGTTCTACTGAACAAGGACAAATCATTCCAATGATAATGAATGATACTAGCATTCAAATGTTTGAAGTTGATAAGATTTTCTTAATGTTTCTGAAAAAAGTTCAAAACAAGGTTATAGTTAACTAAAACCATAAAAAAACAGTTTTATATCTTGAAATAAAATAAACGTTAACTTTTTTTACATTTTATTTTAATTTAGTTATTTTATTTTCATTTAATTTAACTTGATTTACTAAAATAACTAAAACAAAAATGTATACAACTATAGACATATTTTAAAAATCGAATGAAATTAAAACGTCAAAATTACTAAAACTTTACTATTAAAATGAAAACTCTAAAATAAAAATAATATTATATTAATGCCTTTACCATCACTTTCAATCAACTTAATGCATCCTTGCTGAATAAAAGTATTAATTTCTTAAAAAAAAAAAAAATCTTTCTGACCCCAAACTTTGACGACATAACCGAATACATGCAGCACTAAGCACAAGTTTCTATATGTTTGCAGAGTTTGTTCTGTGCACAACTTTTATATTTACTAAAAGTCACATAATTTACCTATCATCCTTGTCATGGCCAACAGTCACTTCACAGCCAGGGAAAACTTTAGCACCCAGCACAGGTGAGATGCAGCACAAGCCAATGGGCTTCTTCTCCGCATGGAAGGCCTCCAGCAATGTTTTGACCTGCTCATTGACTGAGCAGTCTTTACCCTGGACAGCCCAGCTACACAGGTTCTTGGCTGCTCCAAAGCCACCTGCAAAATAATGTTAAAATAATACTAACTGAAATGCTGAGCTGAACAGTATATGGACATTCTTCCAGAAGTAGCGTTTTAACCAGGGAAGATGATAGCATCCAGATCCTTTACGTTGAGCTCAGAGAGGTCTTGGATATCACCCCGGGCAAGTCTGGCACTCTCCACAAGCACATTTCTCTTTTCCTCTGTTGGAGAGCCTTTCAAGTGATCTACAACATGCATCTGATCAATGCTGGGTGCAAATATCTTCACCTGTGGGAAGGTTAGAAAAGAACAATGTTAAATATAGCTGCAAGCAGCAATTAAGGGGCCAAGCACTCCAAAGGCAAAATGAGGAGCCAAGCATGGCCTGGAGCATCAGACCAACTGCAACAATGAGTTGCAACTTCACATGCTCAAAACTCATTGTTGAACTCAGAGCATGTTTAGGATGATTTGAAGCAAAACGGCTGAAAAACCATAAACGCAACTTCTCGTTATATGATTTAATGGCTTATCACTTTTGACCAATAGGTGGTGCTGTTATCAAATCGATGTGATGTGTTCTGTGTGAGGTAACAATGGCACACACAAAGTTTCGTGTCAATATATCAAAGCATTGCAGAGACACAGCCTCAGACATAATCTGGCATTATGCCTCAAATTTGTTGCGGCGCTATACAAAAACGGTTTTGTCTATCAACACGTAATCCAAAACTTTTTGTCAGCACTGTCTGATGATCTGACTCGATTTTGGTGAAAATCGGACAAATGGTCAAGGAGGAGTTTGAAAAAGTAGGTTTTCAACATACATCAAAATGGCGGACAGGAAGTTCGGCCCACAATGGCATAATTGGTCTCTACTGTATGTTGTCGGCATTACCCAAATAATATTTTGAGACCAGTTTCATTATAATAGGCTAATGCAATCAAAAATTATTAGCATTTTTGGAAATTTCATAATTAATGAATGAATGGTTTATCACTCTTGACCAATAGGTGGCGCTGTTACCAAAATGATGTGGCGTGGTCAGTGTGAGGTGACAATGGCACATACAAAGTTTGGTGTAAATATGTCAAAGCTTTGCAGAGATAAAGCCTCAGCTGCAGTTTAGCATCTTTCCAGCAAATTTGTTGATGCGCTAAACGAAAACCGTTTCGTATATCGACACAAAATCCATAACTTTTTGCCAGCATGGTCTGAAGATGATCCGAGTCAAATTTGGTGAAAATCGGAGTAACGTCTAGGAGGAATTCAAAAAAAGTAGTTTTTTAACATGAATCGAAATGGCAAAATTGGTATCAATGTTCTCGCCATAATCCAAGGAATGTATCAAAACCAGTTTCATTACAATAGGCTAGTGTAAACCAAATTTATTAGCATTTTTAGAAATTTCATTACAACTTTTGACCACAAGTTGGCCCCAAACTTTTGGAGTACCATCAGGGCATGGTACCGAAGAAGCATACCAAGTTTCGTAATGATACGTTAATGAGTTCGTAAAATATAGCATTTTACTACAAAATTCAAAATGGCCGACACCCAAAATGGCTTACATGGGAAAATTCATATCATTCGACTCAGCATGCTGCACCGTATCTATAGAGACCAGTTTTCAGACATCAGCATAGACTGTATAAAAACATGGACATAGTGTCCGTGACATCAGCATAGACTGTATAAAAACATGGACATAGTGTCCGTGAC